CAGTTCATATAAGAGAACCATATGCAGAGATGTATGTATATATGATGCATATGGACAAGAGAGAGGAACGTGTGGAATGTATGCGTGTGTATAATGGATGATTATGGCTAAGAGGTAGTGGATAATTTGATCAAGAGATGATATCAGTTATGCTCTAGATACCGTAGGTTGACTGTGCAACTATGGAGGATCTTCATGAGCTTAAGGGGAATTTTGTGGGTTAATGCCGAGAAGAGTACTTGAAGTTCTAGCATGCTGGAACAAAGAAGGTAATCTTTCTAGTTAAGAGAGATAAAGGATTGTCCCAGCTTGCATCTGGTGGACAATTTGGGAAGAGAGGAATCTGTGATGCTTTGTAGAAAAATACAGTAATATCCAGAAGTTGAAAATGAAGTGTCTTAGTTCTTAAAGGACAATATTTAGAAGTTCACGAATCTATTTTTGATGTTTTAGGCTCCTTATAGATGGCAAAGGAGTAGGAATGTTTTTTGTCACAGTTCTCCTTGTAATTAGAGGGGGACTCCACAACTTTTGTGCAGTCTATATATAAATATACATTATATTACCTTCTCAAAAAAATAATAATGTATGATTACGATTATAACATGTAATCCATATACAAATAACCCATCATTGTCCAAAAAAAGTATCAAAAGCCTAGACGTGATCTCTAACGTGAATAAGAAAGCTTAAGTAGTCAGACAAATAAGCATATCACTAGGAGAACATGTATCAAAACAAAGCATTAAAAGGCCTAAATTCTCCCCAAGCGTGGAAAACCTTGGTATACGCATTTATGCTCGTCAACTGGTGTATACGTTACCCCCAAACACATAACACATAACATATAACACATAAGTCCATTTTAGGCAAAATTCTCTCAAGTCGAGATTAGGCAGGACACTTACCTTCTCCAAAATAAGCTTCAACCTTCAAGAACACCTTTTCCTTTTTCTATTGCCTCCAAAAGTCTACAATCTAGTCAAATAATACTCAAGAAGGTCAAATAATGCTATTGGAATCAATCCCACATGAAAAAGATTCAATCTTTATCAAAATCTCAAAAGTCAACAAAAGTTTAACTCGGGTCCACATGGTCAAAACCCGATACAAGATCAAATTACGGTGGCCCATAACCTGTCGGGTCCAAATATGTAATTTGTTTTCAAATTTGAGTCCAAATCGTTATTCAAAACCTCAAATTTTACTTTCTTAAGTTTTGATTCGAAATCCCTTTTTCCCTCTTTAAAATCCTTGATTCTAAGACAAAAATCGAAGATTGATTCATGTAATAATCACAGATTCAAGTTAGAATTACTTACCTAATGTAGTATATGAAAATCCCCCAAAAAATCCCCTCAATCTGAGCTTCCTAGCTCCCAAAATGGTGAGATGAACTCAAAGTTTGAAATCATGTTATTTATGCAAGGGCCGAAGAGTGGCTGATATTGCAGAAAATGGTTGGCATGGCTGCTGCTGCAATTTTATTGCTGATTTTGTTGGTTTTTGCCTTAAAAACGTTCTCCGAATACCTTGAAACTCATCCGAGCCACCCGTGGCCCCTCCAAACCATCCCAACAAGTCCACATACACTACATGAATTTATCCAAAGGCGCAAAACACAAAGGGAAACGCTACAATTCGAAATCAAGGTCCAAGTCAAGCTTTTGAACTCTTAAGTTTCTAACTTCCATGCAATAGCACCGAATTGCACCCGAGCCACTCGGGTCCTAATTCGAACATGCATACAAGTTGAAAATCATCATCCGAACCTTATTGGAACCTTCAAAATGAATCTAAGCTCGTTTAGTCATATTGTTGACTTTGATTAACTCTATTCTCTTTAAGGTTTCTAGTTAACAAGTAGGCATACCAATACGCTCTCAGGCCCTTTAGGACCCGAACCACCGATATCCGCAAGACACAATCACCAAATGAACCTGTGTGAAGTGGGAAGTCTCAAATAAGGGAACGACATGCTAGAACTCCAAACGATCAGTTGGATAGTTACACACTTTTCCATCCCGAATGATGACCACCCCTACCTAAGTCCATTAGCTTCTAGAGCAGCATAAGCAACCCTTTGTCCCAAACTTTCCTTATTGTTGATAATCTCCAGAAAAAAGGGTTGTCTTTATGTAGCAGTTGCTACTTATATGGCAGTCAAACAGAAACCTCAATCACTTTTTTTGCACTGTTGTATTACTGATTAGCTATTCTTGACTAATCAAGTGGTCCATGCCTGGGAATACACATGATCTTTTGCATTGCTAGTATAGGTGGCAGGGGCTGGACAAAGCAAGAAATAGCAGGCGGAGTACTATTCCAGCATGTATTTGGGGGTGATTTGGAGAGAAAAAAACCCAAAATATTTGAGAGAGAAACTCAAATCAGTCTGGTGGATTAAGTTAGATTCTATCATGTTATTTCATTTTTGGTGTAAAACGGAATACGTAAATGAGGCATAAACTCTCCTAGAACCCATAGAGGCCCTCTAGGATTACATGAGGGCCATACTTTTGGTGTTCTGCACTGTACAGAAACTCTAGGACTAACTTTGTGCTGTTTATAAATACAATTATTACCTTTTCAAAAAAAAAAAAAAAGGTCTTTTCCATTTAGTCAGCATTAGGGTTTTAAACCCTAAACTGA